CCCCAAAACCCCAAAACCCCAAAACCCCTTAAGCATTAGTAATTGAGATTTTTTAAGAATTAAAAAAGTAAATTAGATTAGTATTAATTTATTTACAACTTTAAGGGAAAGTGAGAGGCATTTGAAAATCCTTTCATCTATTTCGATAACAACATATAGTTGGGTTTAATTATTATTAATTTCTTCTGAAACATAAACTTGTGTAAGTTGTTGTCAGCTAAACTCTTTTTTAACGATCATTTTCAGAAGGGGCTTCATCCATTTCACTACCCTCAAATATGATGCTTTATTTTCTAATGGGTTGATGAGTTCTAAATATCTAGTTGTTTTCTATCTAATAATTTAAATGGCTTTATTGATTTCCTTATTAATTTCTGCTAACTTTGTTTCTTACATTTTCTAGCTGTATCTATTCAGCTTCTGTTAAAAGTTCAATCTCAAGTTTTTCATTTTTTGTAAAATAATCATCGAAGTCATCATCCTATTCATCCTCCTCATCTAATATTGGAGCTGGCTTTTATGCATCACTATAAGAAAGATATTCAGGCTGCTATGCTTGTTAATAACTTTACTAGCCATGTATGAATTATTAAGTCTGACTGAACATGTTATATTCTCTACTTTTTTGCGAAGTGTTTATCGACATGTTTAGCATGTTTATTGGCGATAGAAAATTTATATTTTATTTCATACTTCCACCTCCATTCTAATGCAGATTCTGGCTACTATGATTCGAGAGTAATTCTCTCTGAGGACTCATCTTAATTAGATTATCAACTGATTTCTGAGTATTTTGAATTTAATTAGAATGCAAAATGATAGTTGGCTATTGAATGTTTTTATAGGTCAAATTTGTGAGGTTCTATTGAGATACATTTGAATGCGACTAGGATGTGTTGTTATCTCTTTGCTAAGATAATCTATCGTTCTAAATAGATTTATTTAAATGCTTTATTTGTACAGATTTTTATCTCGTTAATGACTTTATTTACTTATCCTAGTCAAGGAGATTCTTTAAAGTAGAATCTCTCTGCTATCAATGATTTAGCAGCTGATTTTTAGTTACTAATAGCTCTTTTTTTATCGTATTATATAGTAACTTGGTTTATGTCCATTAATCCAATACCTTAAATATTGAAAGCTAGCTGAGCTACAAAGTTTATTCTTAGCTCTTTTATCATTCTTAATTTTCATCCTTAACAACCTTTAATTGTAGAGCATCCTTAATTTGAGGAGTGTACTGAGTAGGATTTACTAATAGTTGGATGGGCAGAATTTTTTATCAACCTCTACATGTCTTCTAGATTTCTGATAAGAACTATTCCAGAATATTAATCTGATTAGATTCGAGCTATCTAACTGATGAAAAAGCTCTGTTCATATCAATATCTTAAAGCAGATAAAGACTTAGTTGAGATAATTTTGTTTTAACTACTTCATATTCAACAAGTTATTCTTTTCTTTACAAATTTAGAGTCTCAAGCTACTTATCAAGTAATTTGAATTGTTTGATAAAGCTATTATGTGATTCTTTGGCCACTTTCAAATTATTATTCGTATTCTTTATACTATCAGTCAAAGATGCCACTGAATGATCTCTTTATTGAAAGGTTGTTAGATGTCTTGCGTTTATAGATATAGGAGATAAACTATTCATTGTGTGTTTACTACTTTTTTTTCCGGTAGTTGGCCTTTAAAAAGAACTGAGAGTCTAGGCTAATCTTTCCCCAACTCCCTAGCTTGATGCTGGAGGCTGTAATTTATTTTATTCAACAATTGGGCCTATACTTTATCCTCTCTTGAAATCCTTATTTCTTTGGGTTGATGGGATTAGCAAAAGAGATGTATAATGCGACTTAGAATTAAAAGACGTTTGATCATTTGCTAATCTTGAAGTAAAAGGATCTCTCTTCATCGTACTATTAAATCCTTTTCCGATACTTAAAGTGCTATTTTATTTTATCATATAGCTTTAGTTTTCTCTCATATATTTTGTTGATATCTGATTCATAGAATATCATGGTTTTTAAATCTGAGGCGAAGGATCCTCTTCATTAACTTAGTCTAGAGTCAGAGGAGTTTTCATCAAAATATTCCCAATATTTACTTTCTAAGTCTAATTTGGTTTGAATTACCTTAGTTCTTTCATGCTTTTTGACTATATCATTCCCTATCCGATTGCTTTATGGCTCTTCGATTAGCCAGGGCGATTCGGACTAATTTCTAGTGCCTCTGTTGCCTTATGGTTGTTTAGAAAGCGATACCTTTTTAAAAACATATTTTGAAAATATAACAATCAATTAATAAAATTAAAATAATGCAAAGTTCTTTCTACTAAACATCTAGAAGATTTTTTTCTAAGAGATATTTTAGAGTTAGCTACGACTACGTTGATGATGTCTATTACAAAAGAAGTAAAAATCGATTTCATATTAATACTAAATGCAGTTCCTCACAGAGAAAATCACTTGAAGAATTTAGATTCAATGAAAGCATAGAACCAAACAAAGTTAATATCAGTTCCATTTTTCCCATTTGATGGCAACACTATTTTTATTGAAACAGAAGGTGATGAGCAATATATTGAAAAATTTGTCAAGCAAGATCCTTACATTAAGAACAATCTAGTTAACAAATACGAGATTAATGAGTTTGATATGACATCACATAAGAGATTTGATAGAATCAGCACTGAATTTTTAATGCGCAGTTGATAGAGATATATTTAAGGACAATATTTAAACAATAAATTTAAGCCATTAGTATAAATATGTAATTTATCAATTTAAATGTCAGTACTAGGGGTTTTGGGGTTTTGGGGTTTTGGGG